AGAAGTGAAAGAGAAGGAACTAAAATAATTTCCTTGGTTTAAGGCAAAATGGCCTGGCGTAGGTAGGATGACACTGTCGGGGTGGAGGCCACGTCGGTTCTCAGTTTGGCTGTGTAGTGGGAGTCTACTCTGTGTTTGGCCAGCCTTGCTGGAGGGATTGGAAAGGAAGGAGGCAGAGCTTGTGCCCCTATCTCTGGAAATCACTTTTATTCCCTCTTCTCTGCTTTTTTTATTTTCCTGTTTTATCGGAAGGATAAGATAAGTGGAGCACACTGTTGATGATAGAGAATCTCTAGGGGCAGTTGGAGACAGATCCAAGCATTAATCACAGATTGTGGGTTGTACAAATGGCTTTGTGAGTCCTTATCTTGGGCTAGCAGTGGATGCCTTATTGCTTGCCAACAAGCTGCAATGTCCTGTGAGACCTCTCAATTTGGAAATGAATCAGTCACAACAGCATAGAAGACAGGTATGCCCTAAAATGCTAATAGTAAATGTAGGGAGGTTGAAAGAGCTGGATCTTTTAAGTCAGGTGGTTCTGCGCTCCAATCCTGTCTTTGCTGGTCACTGTCTGAGTCACCATGGGAAAGTCACCTAATATCTCTGAGTACCTCTTTTCTTATTTGTTAAAAATGGAGATAACTTTACCTACCTAAAGTGAGTACTTGTGAGGAGGAAATTAAATGAGAAAATGCCTGGCACATGGCCTGGCCCATAGTAGATGCTGGACAATTGTTACTTTCCCTCCTTCAAGAAATGCTTATTGAACCTTGTCTATGGACAGGCCCATTCTCTGTTGCTCTCCACTGTATACCTAGTGCACATTAACTGGCACATAGGGGATCTTAATATTTGTGAATTACTCATCACTTTCTACCCTAAGTGATAGCTGTTTAGGTCTGTGTTTTGTATCTCCCACTGGACAGGAAGACCCTTGAGGAAATAATCTCCATACCCCATGTCCTGCACAGTTCCTGGCAAACACAGTAGATGCTGACTACATAGTACAGAAATGGGTCACCGGGGACAATTTAGGCAGAAGAAAGTCCTTCAAAATGTGCAAAGCTGCAGCTTGAAGCTCCCTTGTAAGACACTAACTGCTGGGAAGTGCTTGTAGCCAGCAAATCTGCCTGGTAGACAGTGGTCAGGCTAAAATCCCAGATCACCTTCTATTCTTGGAGCTATTAGGGTTCTTTTCTGGGTTGAGATAGGTTTTAAAGAGAGTGAGTCAAATGACCTGCTAATGGTTCAGATGGTTCTCTCAGTAAAGTGTGAAAAGTGTCAGTGACCTGTTAAGTATGTAAAATGAAGGCCTTCTTCTTCAAATCCATTAAACTCTGCTTCCTTGTGTTTCTTCTTTGTGTAGATTGAAGTAATTTTGTGAGTTGGAGTGAGGCGCTAGTGAGATCTAAGTAGTGGGCTTGATTTCTTAAAGGTCAGTTTCTCCTAGAGAGAAAATGTCCCAGGCAGGACCTGAGCTTACTCCCTGCATCATTTCAGTCACCTCACAAAACTGTGTCTCCTTGATTAATAACCCTTGCGGGAAGTGTTAAACACTGCCTCAGCATTTATAGTCAAGTTTCAGATAATTTTTCTTTATGCCTGAATTCAGGTCCATACTTTGCTACTCATTTGGTGAGATGTTGGACAACTTAGTATATCCCTCTCACCTGAAAAATGAACAAATTGTGCTTACCCTAAAGGGACATAAAAACTCTTTATGAGCTGTTCAGAAGTTGGGGGTAATCATCTTAGCAGTTTATCTATGTCTAGGGAGCTGCAAGAAATGAAGGGTTTAAATCAAAATTCACAGTTCTGGCCCTCATCATGCTTGCTGACTGGGTATCTTCAGCAGCATATACTGACCT